GGGCACTGAAAATTCATTTCCAGGAATTCCCCTTGCCAGGTCAGCAGTAGGATTATTCAGCAGGCTTGACTGCATAGTATAATTAATGAATATATTTATACTCCCCCCCCCCCCGGTCCAGCTACAGTACATGGGGAAAGGGGGCTTTAATCCTCCAGGTCCCCCTTCCAGTGGTTGGGGAGGTGAGAGTCAAGCCAAGTGCCCGGCTTGGGGTGGGATGGGGGGAGAGGGGTGGAACGGTCAGCGTTTCGGGAACAGGGTAAGGGGTTCAGTGAGGTTGGAGCGATGCAGTGTGAGAGGAGAGGTCTGTCCATCTCTGCCTCTCCTATAGGTGCAGGGGGGAGGGTAAAGGGAGGGCAAAAGTGAGAAGCTGCTCTGGACCCCCTCCCCCAGTACACTTCAGCTGCTGTGGTCAGTGTGCCAGCTTTATGGGGGGGGGGGGGTTTTACTTCCTATTGCTTGGAGCCAAACCAAGCTGCAGGCAGGTGTCAGAAGCAGGGACGGGTTCACTGCGTGGGCCTGAAGTGTTTGCGGGGGTGGGTAAGGGCAGAGCTCCGGTCGTGGGCGAAGCAGGTATGGACCAGCAGGTTCTGCTCCAACCCCTCTGCGCTACTGGCACCATGCAAGAAAAGTGCCTCTTCTTTCTGGCTTCTGGGTACCAGACGCAGCAGCAGAGAAGTTTGGTTCTTTTCTGCTCCCCTGTTTCCAAGGTGTGTGTATGGGGGGGCGGGGTGTGTGTTTCATGTGCAAGAGCAGAGGAAGGTCATAGGGGTGGCCCTGATGAGCCCTGTCCCTTTCCGGTCCTGGCTGGCTGCTTGCTCAGGATACGTGTCCCCATCTGGGGCTGGGCCCGAGCCTGTTTCTGACCCCTTCCCCCCCCCCTTAGTCTTTCTCCGTGGGGTCGCTCGAAGTTCCTGCTTTTCCATCGTTCGTGCCTGGGCTGTGAGGCGGATCTCCCCCCTTCCCAAGAGGAGCATGCAGCCCTGAGGAAAGCCCGTTCACCACTGGATCACTACTAGCCCACCCGGCAGGGTTGTTGTGCAGACTGCGGCAAGAGGCACCGGAAGCGCCAAGCGGAGCGTCCAGCACTTCGGCGCCGCCACCCACCCACTAGCCGGGAACCGCCTCTCCTCCCATTGGTTCGGGGGTCACGTGGCCGCTCGCCCTCTGGCCGGATCTACTCGTCGCGGGGAGGGCACGTGACCATTCCTCTCGGCTGACGTCAGGCACATGACCAGTCATTTCACTGTCCCGCCTCCTTCCAAGCCGATCCTTCCGCGCCTCAGTTTCTCTCTTTCCCCCCTGACCTTGCCTCACTCTTCGCTGGACCGAATTTCCTCCGTCCCTTGTGTGTCCTGCTTCCCGCCACCCCTAACGACGCCCCCCGCCCCGGTTCGGGAGAAGGCGACGAAGCGCCCTCCCCGAACTACTTTGTTTTGGTGTCAACCCGTCAACGCAAGGGGCGCAGCATTTGCGCAAAGGGAGGCTTCGTGAATCGCCCCTGGCGTAGAGCCTTATTGTGGGCTGTGTGGCGAAGGAAGAGTTCCGTCACGCCTGAGGAGCAATGCCGGTAATAAGGGTCATGAACGAAGCGGAACTGAATGTCGGAGAAACGCCTACCTTGGGTTCCGCGCATATGCTGTACTTTACGCGACCAGCGCAAGCCTCCACTTTTGGCGTAAGGTACGCCACTTTTGTACGCAGGTCCGCCGTCGCCCCAGAAAGCGGTGTTGTGGCGCCCAGGGTACGCGAACGGCGTACTCCCTCCTCCGTAGCCGTACGTAATAACGCAGTCAACGGGCGTTCAGCGACGTTCACGGCGTAACAATCCTGGCGTAAAGCTGCGGGGCGGACGGCGGCTGCGCCGTTTCCGTACGTGGGGTTACGCCGCCAGCGGAGCGGTGTCGTAACCACGCCAGCGGCGGCGTATCACTGCGCGCGGGGGAGTGTGTAGTGTGAGGCGGCCCGGCCTGGTCCGTCCCCGTCGCCCCTTTCGCTTCCTCGCCTCCCTTCTCCGTCGCTCTCCTCCCGCCGCCGCCATGAAGTTCGTCTACAAGGAGGAGCACCCCTTCGAGAAGCGCCGCTCCGAGGGCGAAAAGATCCGCAAGAAGTACCCGGATCGAGTCCCGGTGAGACCCGGCGGAGGGGAGACCGGGGAGAAGGGTTCCTCCGCCCACGAGAGCGAGTCCCCGCCCCGCGACCCCCGCCGGGGAAGGAGGGAGGGTCGCCTCCAAACACCACCACCCCACCCCTCCCCAGACCCCCCACGAAGGGGCGCCTCGCCCCGCCCTCTCCCGAGGCCGCAGCCCCTCGTATCCCTCCGCCGGCCCTTCGCCCCCCTTCTTCTA